AGTTCGATGCATTATGTGAAAAAGAAGTGATTGTGCATGAGGTGGTGCTACCCTACACTCCACAGCAAAATGGAATTGCAGAAAGAAAGAACAAAACTATCATGAACATGGTGAGAAGTGTGTTGAATAGAAAGCATCTACCCAAAGAGTTATGGGGAGAAGCGGTTTCGACAACAATATACATATTAAATAGATGTCCGACGAAGAAGCTTGAAGGAATCACACCAGAAGAATGTTGGTCTAATGTCAAGCCTAGCCTCAGCCACTTGAAGGTGTTTGGATCTTAGCACATAGATATGTGCCCGATCAGTTGAGAAAGAAGCTTGATGACAAGTCGAATCAGATGATCTTGATAGGATATGATTCGACTAGAGGTTACAAGTTGTTCGATCCAGTGAATAAGCAGGTAGTGATCAGCAGAGATGTGATCATAGATGAGCTTAAAGAATGAGATTGGACTAAGAATGTCAAGAAGGATTCAGTGAGAATCCCTTGTGAAGAACCAGCTACTGAAGTCGAAAGAGAAGTTCGACAGGAACAAGTCAGAGATGAAGCTAGCCCAAGCAGACCTCGACGAACAAGACACATGCCTTCAAGGTTTCAAGAATGTGTGATTACTTCATATGATTTGGTAGATGAAGAAGGTGAGATCATACACTATGCTTTCTACACAAATGTCGAACCAGTCAATGCAATTGAAGCATTGAAAGATTCGAAGTGGGTGAAAGCAATGAATGAAGAGTTAGACTCCATCAAAGTCAACAACACCTGGTCACTTGTCGATTTGCCTCAAGGCAAGAAGGAAATTGATGTGAAGTGGGTTTACAAGGTGAAGGTGAATCCTAAAGGAGAAGCAACTCGACACAAGGCGAGACTCGTGGCGAAAGGATTTCTTCAGAAGGAAGGAAGCAACTTCGATGAAGTTTTTGTATCTGTTGCTAGGATCGAAACCATCAGATTGGTTGTTGGTCTAGCAAATATGAACAATTGGCACACATGTCTGATGGAAGTGAAGTGTGCATTCCTTAATGGCCCCTTAGACGAAGAAGTTTATGTTGCACAACAAGCTGGGTTTGTGAAACGAGGCAAAGAAAGAAGGATGTACAGGCTGTATAAATCCCTGTATGGACTTAAGCAATCTCCAAGAGTTTGGAATACGAAAAAAGACTTCAAACATAACTTGAGTGAGGAGTTTGAAATGTTAGACTTGGGAAATATCTCATATTTCCTTGGCATCGAATTCTTCAAGAGTAGTAGAGGTTTGATGATGAACCAAAGAAGATATGCAGGAAAAATACTTAAGAGATTTGAGATGCAAGATTTCAGCCCAACTTCAACTTCAGATGAGACCAGATTGTAATTATCGAAGGATTTAGTTGAAGTTGATGTCGATCCAACCCAATATAGAAGACTTATTGGGTCACTTTGATACCTTTGTCACACAAGGCCTGACTTAGCATACAGTGTAGGTATGGTAAGTAGTTTCATGCAGAAGCCAAAGGTATCACACCTAGCAACGATGAAGAGGATATTGAGGTATCTGAAAAGGACTCTTGACTATGGTATTTTATTTCCTACAATTGATGAAGGAAAATAATGCAAGTTACTAGGATACACCGACTCTAGTTGGTGTAGTGATGCTGAGGATAAAAAATTTACAGCTGGCTATGTGTTTATGTTAGGTGGTGCACCAATTGCTTGAAATTTGAGAAAGGAGTCAGTAGTGGCATTTCCATTATGCGAAGAAGAATATATAGCTGCTTCTTTTTGTGCATGTCAAGAAACCTAGATGGTGAACCTGGTCGAAGATATCACAACGGAGAGTCATGGAGCAATTACCATGAAAATCGACAGCATGCCAGCTATCAACTTGGCGAAGAATCCGATAGCATACGGTCGAAGCAAGCACATCAAAATAAGGTTTCATTATCTTTGAGAGCATGTAGAAGAAGGGAAGATGAATTTGGAACACTGCATAACTGAGAATCAGATTACAAACATCATGACGAAGGGAATGTCAGTCGATGTGTTCAGAAGGCTAAGGTTTATGATGAATGTAGATAGCTTAGACACAATGAATTAGGTGGTGTGTTTAGTTTGTAATTCTTTGTGTCGAAGCAGTGTAGCTCGACAAAAAAAAGGATTAGTCAAATTAGCCTAATGTGTTAGTGTGTCGAGTTGCTTAGTGTGTCGAAGTGTCGAAGCAGGTTGCTTCACATAGGATTTCGACTTAGGCCTATTTAGTAATGTTACCTATTTTGGCCTTTTATAGTTTTGGGCTTTGTCTTGGGGTGCAAGCAAACCTAAATCTATTAATAAGGAGAAACCTTATTTTGTATATGAACTTATCATATTTTGTAATTCACAGTTTGCAGTTGCAAGTGAAATAATAGATTTTCCACAGTTTGTTGGCAGAGAGTTCTCTACAGAAAATTGTTCATTTTCTTCTTCTCCAACGCTTACTTTCTTTCGCTCCTTCTTTCTAAATCTTTTCACCGTTATTATGTGAGTGGGAACAATTTTGAGATTAAGATTGATTGAGTGAAATTCTCTATTGGTTGTGGTTGAATTTCCAACATTCCTCAAGGTAGTTGTGAAACTAGCTTTGCAAGTTATGTGTATAGCTTAAGTTTGTTTAAGTCTTTTTTTGTTGATATAACTACCTAGATCAATAAATGCAAATAATTTCACTTTGGACATCAAGTTTATTCTATTATTTTCCACCAATTGTTTCTGAAAATCAAGAGGTGCATGATTCATTATAAATAGAAATATTTTTAAATTCAAAATAACCTTCTTCGTGAATACTTTTACTATTTTTTAAGTGCATGTAACATTTTAATAGTAAAAAAATTTCTGCATAATTTTCATTTTAATGTGAAAAAGTTAAGAGAAACACTCGAGCACTTAAATGTTTACATCACATTGCTCATTGAAGGAGAAGATTCATACAATAGAAAAGCAGCAAAGTAACAATTTCATCACAGTTGCTGCAAAGTCTGTCGATAATATTTTTCATACAAATTGTTGTATTTTTTCACCAAGTATGTGGTGAGTTTTGTCTGTAAGAAAGACGTTGTTCTTTCTACAGGTGGTTGCAAAAAGGGAGGGTTGTCTTTCTATTTGTTGGAAAAGTTCTTTAAACCGGGGTGATTCAAAGTCCACCATTATTGTTGGTGTTTTTGGAAATCAAAGAAGTGATTTACTTCTTTGTTATTGTTAGAAGATTGTAGGAGATGTTTTGGTGTAGGCTTGTTCAAAGATCTAGCAATAGTGAAATCTCTCACAGTGTGTGAAGAGACTAAATGTACCATTGATTGAAAAGGAGAACTAGTATAATTTTGTGTTCATTTACTTTACTGCATTTATTTTTTTTATATAACTTCTATATCTTAAACTAGAAAATAAACTCATCACTTCATTACTCATAAGACCAGTAAAAGTGAACAAAAATTTCTTAAGAAAAAAGTTTGTTAATTTCTTTCTAAAAATTAGTAAACCTAATTCACCCCCACTCCCTCCTCTTAGGTTGTGCACTCTAATACTTACAATTGACATCAGAGCATGTTTTAGGTAATCTGTTTCTTAAGATCCAATAATAGCTTCTACAAATCTGACTTTTAGAGACGGTGGTAGCAACAAAAAACCTTCATTGTTTTGTGGTGAATACTATGATTTTTGAAAAATTCAAATGAAAACATATATATCTTAAGGCACAAGGCAATGATATTTGGGATGCTTTAGAAAATGGTTTGTTCGTTCTCACAAGTGTTGTCAATGAAGTTGGTACATCAAAGATCAAAAGTACTTGGAATGAAAATGATAAGAAATTTTTTTTCCTATGACAAAAAGACAAAGAACATGTTCCAATTCGCACTTGAAATAGATGAATTCTTTCATATATCTCCTTATAAAACAATAAAAGAGATTTGGAATACCTTAAAAGTCACATATGAAAATCATGAAAACACAGCATTAATGCATCACATCATTCAAGTGATAAAAAAAAATAAAATTAGTGATTATGAAATTGATGGTATACCTTCATATAATGAATTACAAAATGCTTTTAATAAATTGTATGATAAATTTTTGAAATTTTCTTAAAAAATTTCAAAGCAAAAGAAAATTATGTTCAATCTAAAAAGTGAGGATAATATCACAAAAATAAAATTAGACTTAATCAAAAATTCGGCGTGCACAATTGTTCTTCTTTTAAGTATAAAATTATTGAATTAAATCATGTCATTGACAAATATAAATTTTTTTAATTAAATAGGCAAACCCAATTCTTTTTTGACAGCTAGATGCATCAATATCTGGATCATTGTTCAAACTGGGTGGTTTTGGTGTTGCTCCTGGTACAAACATAAAATTTGCAATATAGAGCATGATTCACATTTGACATGGTAGACGCACGTCTGGAGCCATTTCTGCCGTGAAAATACATAAACTAAAAATCCTAGCTTTTGGTAAGGAGTTTTTGTCGCGGAAACAAACATACTAATAAACAACATATTTTTGCTAATACATTTATTATCACTGATTTTTTTTAGTCAGATCTACATAAATTCATTCAACAATACCTGTTGGGAAAATTTCAATTAGGTTAGAATAAACTTCAGTGAGACCTAATATTGTTCCATCTAAACTAATCACACAAAAAATGATTTGAGCTCTACTTTACATAAATTAATTAGGTGGCAGTGGCATGTATCCATGTTACTCAGAAGAAGAAACGCCATTATTATAATGATCATATGTATTCATTTCATCAATTAGGGTGTGGTGACAAGAAAAGGCATCAGCAACACCGCGACGGTGTTCCAGAATCAAACCCAAACTCTTGAGGCTTTTCATGAAGTATCCGTGTTGTGTTGTGTTGGTGTGGGTCCTGACATGTGTTGAACATCTAACATGCCCTCAAGCTAAAACATCATGCTGCATAGGAAGTGAAGTTGGAATGTACAGCTTTAACTATGGTTAGAAGAGACCGTGACCTAATAGTCAGCTTCAAGGAAACTCTCATATTCAGTTCCTGTCAATGCATTGTTAACATCGTCCCAGTTCTGAATATGATCTGATAATGGTCCTTTATGTATCTTAACTTGACGGCTCGTTAACTCCATTCGTGGCAATCCTAAAAAGTCTTGCACGTCGTTTAGCTTCTGCAACAAACAACACAGTGAATCTCATAGTCTAAAAAATGTGCAACAAGCCTAGGATGCTTGGTTACAATATCTGTTGATAAAATGAAATTTCTTCCCATGCAGTTTGTTTGGTTTCATGGCATAAACCACAAGCATTGAGTTTAAGTCAATGCGGGATAGAAGAAATATGGTGAGGTCCTTACAGTGTGATTTCTCATAAGATCTTCGTAGTAAAGGATCATATGCCGAGAGCTATTGTAGTATTGTAAAGCCGTTGCAGATTTCATCTCCATGTCCTTCAAGTCGTCCACCAATGATGTAGAATTTATGATAGGCTTGTACTTTGAAAGAATATCAGCCTAAATAATCAATTTATGTTAACTTCATTTCACAAATGTTAAGAATAATATATGAAGGAAAAGGGAGAGACCTCTTCTGCAGAGTGTACATGAGATTTATGTGTTCCATTCAATAGCTTGGCGTGACTATCATAGGAATTGGCTAGCATAGATACCATTCTGCGTAGTAAGTTTCTCCTGAAAAGAAATATGATAGAAACGCTTCTACGCTTGAAGTATTCTTCTATGTCCTTGTGGTGCTCCATTAATCCCTGCACAAACCAAAAGATTACTTATAATGTGTAAAATGAAATGTCAGCGTAAGCTCGAAGGAAGAAAATAAGGGAAATAGAAAGAAGAAAGAGCATGTTGATGTGAGGTATGCGCCAGATTCCGAATTCCACCAATTCTAAATGATAGCCACAATAAGTGCAAGTGTACAAATACTAGAACTCCACTACCAAATATCCTTGATACGATTTCTCAACATCATACAATTCTCATCAGAAACCATAAAGACAGGGATGGGAAACCGTAAAACTTAGGGAACCAAAAAGAAGAGACAATGTCATCTGAAACACCCGAAAGTAGATAAATTTGTCTACATTTAAAACTAGTAGATGTAATTTATGAGTGACATTTTCGCATCTTGAAAATATAAGCAGAAAGGTCGTAACACACATGTATGTATGTCACTCCTTAAACATTCCCTTACATGGATATAAACCGAGTTTGACTTTGCTCCATTTATATATTCTCTATTTAATATCAATTTATGAGAGAGATGGGCACAAGTGATAAATTAGTGAGATATCATTAGTAAGATCCACTTATCAATCATGTACATAAATGTCAATATTTGATAGTAAAGTTTGTAAAGTCTGTGAAATCAATCTAACATTGGATGTCAGAAAGGAAGAAAAAAAAATTCTTCAGAACAAGACATTGTGATCCCCATTCTTTTAGCAAGTAGATCTATTAAGGTCGGTTTGGATTGACTTATTTGAGTTTATATGTTGGCATAAGCACTTGTGAGTTGTGACACTATTTGGGAGAGCTTCCGGAAACAGCTTATGACATGTCCATACTTTGTTTTCAGTTCATTTCCATAAACTCTTTAGAATAGCTTATGTAAGACTTTGACTTCATTTTCATCTTTTGTTATAGAAATAACTTACACATAAGCGCTTATATGATAATAGTTTATTCTATAAACTCTAAATTAAGTTGTTTATCCCAACAGTAGACCACCTTATGCTTTAACAAAGTTAATCAAGATACACATTAGGATAAAAAATCAGTGACATGATACTTGCACTGCAGGTTTCAAAATTCGTGTTTTATTCATGTGATGCTATGTAGTTCTATCCTAACCAATTTTTACAACTGGAAGTCAGCAATTGAAATAAAATGTAGATTAATGCAAAGGTAAACTTTGCGTTTGCTTGCTAACAGGAATAACAAAACAAATATAAAGGGTTGCGAGACTTTGATATGCATGTTTTAGGAGTTCAGTCGGCGGCAGAATAAAAAAAGTTCTACAATTTACATTTTCATCTAAGATTAAGGTGATCATTGAAAGAATTTTGAATAGTATTCTGAAAAATCTAGGCATTCTTTCATCTTTTAGGCCTGTGTGTACGCAAAACTACAGAAACTAATGCACATATATCACAGCACAAACCTCACACAATCCCGTACAGATAATTAAGAATAGCAAAAGAGCCACAAATTTTCCAATCTTACAGACTAGCATTAATATTAATAAAAGTGTAGATGCGTTGAAAACATTTCTAAGAAAACACGACAAGAAATGCATATACCTGATTGAGCATCCACTTGAGTCCAACTGCTGCAGAACACTCGTTCTTGGAAGCACTATTGAGCCAGTCTAAATTATATACTCTATCCAAAGTCTTCAAAATGGAAGAAGCATTTTTCCTTCTCTCTCTAATAGAAAATATCTCTCCGTTCGAGCTCACATTAACGTGGCTATTCAAAAGGGTCTCAAACCACCCACTGCCCGATCTCTGATTCGACAATATTGCAAAAAACATGACAGGATTAGGAGCACACTCATTCCTGAAAAAGAATACGACAATCAATATGTGCCTAATGAAATCCATCCAATAATAATTAACAAGTTCTTCCCATTACCTGCTAAAGGATAAAGGTTCAGGATAATGTAGTATGTTAGGATTCATTTGCTTAACTCTACTTTGAGTAAGGTTACCAATGACTTTGAAGTCCGTAAACATAGTCCTCGCTTCGGTGCCTATCTGCTTTATACATACATAGAAGATTGAAACAACGCTGACCATTGAAAACATAAAAAACGCCGTCCTTAACAACATTGGGGATTTCTTGGGAGGCTTTATAACAAGAATATCCTGCCATCCACATACAACGAAAATGTCACTACCATGTAAACAACGTGACAACTTTCACCCCTAAGAACTAAACCAGTTAGGTTGACTCATGGAGTCATACCATCCCTCATATCCAAGAAAAACATATAGAAAATAATCAAGTTGATGTTGTTGAAGCTAATAAGGTAAACAAATTCTCAAAAAATTAGTACATATTAATCTGAATTTGTTGATTCATTAGTAATCCAAAGTAAAAAGTTTTAGGAGCATTATTCCAATAAGACATGCAACAAAAATAGCAGGACTTATGTCAAACAGAAGACATGCATTGCATACATTTGGTACCAAACATAAAAAGCCCTCAAATTGAGATAACAAAATCAGATCAAAACATGCAAAATGAGCTGCATTTAAACTCATACTAATGTCAATGTTACTTCAGTCAGAGTCAAAAACACCATAATTAGATGATAAAAACATCTAAGAACACAAAATCAAATTTAACAAATTTCTTTTCTGAGAGAGAGAAAGCCTCTTAGCTATACCATTGGAACAAAATAGTTACTAAAAAAGGTAAAAAGAGAAAGACATTGTGAGACATAGGAAAAAGGAAAAAAGGAAGTAGAAAGTATATACCTTGTAGAGGAAACACATGTCTCCTACCATTGGTGTTCTAGAAAGAAAACAAGAACAGCATGGAAGGAGAAACAAGGGTTTTGGGTGAGACCCAAAAGAGAAAAAGGTTTCAACTTTGGAGGTAGAATCAATGTCTCAGAGAAAAACCCCAAATGGCATAATCTAAAGACTAAGAAGAAGAAGAAGAAGAATGCGTTTTTCCCAATGCTGGGTTTCTTGTTTCTTCTCAGTGTTTATTCATTTTCTTTTTTTTCCTTTTTCTTTTTATCTTTTCTTATTTATTTATTTATTTATTTATTTATTTATTTATTTATTTATTTATCGGATTCAACCGAACTATGTTTGATTGACCACAGATTAAAAAATATAGCTAAATAAAATATAAAATAAATAATTTGAAAGTGATAAATAAAATGGTGAAGAAAAGGAAAATTTAGAAAAGAAATTAAGAAAAAGACCTATTTGGCGTGTGTAACGGTGGTGACGCGGTCTAACTAAATGAAGATTGGGACCCACAGGTCAAAAGGAATAGTACAAATCTTTTGAGGACAATTATGTCCTTAGCCAAACTCAATAAAATTTGTTCAGTTATTTTTTATTTTTGGTCATATAATCTACAATCTTAAATGTGATTATAGCTATTAACCCAATTATACTTACGAAATCATTTGTTTATTTATCTAGCGTTGTGCCTTCGATTTATCTTATAAATGTTACTAGTATTAACTTTTTTATAGTAATAATATTTGATTTCATAGTTAAAATAACATTTTTTATTAGAAAAAATTTAGCTAAGTTATACTTCAGAACTTTCTCATAATAATACTTATAGATGCTTAAATATTTTTTCCAAAAAGTTTTTCTAAATGGCAGTAGGAGTTGAAAAAAACAATTCCTATTATATTAAAAAAAAATTAAGATGCATTCAATTAAATACATCATAATTCCATTTTATTAAATTAATTTTTGATTTTCTTAATAGATATTTAAATAAAATTATTTGATTAAATGAATACATGAAAATATTATAATATCTATTTATAAATTAAATGTTAATTTAAGTATCTATTTCACAAATATAGGATTTTAAATATATATATATATATATATATATATATATATATATATATATATATATATATATATATATATATATATATATATATATATATATATATATATATATATATATATATATATATATATATTTATTTATTTATTTATTTATTTATTTATTTATTTATTTTCTTACTGTTACTTAATAACTTATTAGGTTAAAGAATAATATTATCTATAACTAACTCAACAAATAAAACGGTTAGTTTACATTTATTTAAAGTTATGAATAAGTAAGTAAGCATCGTGCACTCGTTTGACTTTGACTAAAAATTCAATTATATATATTTTTTAAAATAACTACATAAATGAGTGAATATTTATTTAGAATGGATTAGGTAGTTCAGCTATTCTTACATAGGGTTTAATTTTTAAAAGATATGTTTGGAGTGCGGTATCGAATAAAATATCATCTTATTTACGGATAAATTTATTTGTGATTTATTTTGATTTTAGATGATTGATTAAAAATATTTAATTTGATTCGATTTAATTTTATGCCATTTAATTTGTATCAGTTTTTTAATATTTAAATTATAAATTATATTTTTATTAATATTATAAAAGTATAAATAAATAATAATTTGATATATAAAATATACTTAATATTACAAAATAATAATGGCCGCTTATGATTAAAACAAATGAAATAATAAAAATTAATAGATTAAATCAAAATAATAAATAATATTTAAAATTAAAACGACATATCGTACTAATAAAAAATAAATAAGTATATAAATGTTATATATGCAGTTTGGTTTGATTTTGAAAAATCAATTCGAAATTTGATTCGAATTGAGCGATTTTTATAATATGACATAAAAAAAACATTCAATAATTTTCGATATTTTTTTATCAGTTTAGATTTTTAACACTCTTGATTTCTAATATTTTTATTTTTTTATCAATGATAGTTATAAAACAATATTTTTTTAAAAAAGTATACAATTTATATTTTTAATATTAATATTAATTTAATTGCACATATTAATAATCTATGATGATCTTATCGGCATATCGACAAATGGCATTATTGTTACGCCGACCACTAGGTCGTAAGGCTTTTCCAGACAAATTTTTTATTGACATTTTCGTCTCTTAGAAAAAGCCGTAAAACGGTTGGATCGAACAGGCATGCAAGTAGAATTTGATTTTTTTTATAAGAGGGATGACCTAAGCCCAAAGAAAGAACGAACTAAATAGAAACAACTCTAGCCAAGGAGGACCCAGCTAAATCCCCTTCATACAAGAATTTTATCGAAGAAGGACACGATTCAAAATAACAAATGCTCCTAGATAAATGAATTCATTGCTTAGCAAGCGCATCCGCACAAAGATTTGCCTCACGAAAAACTTGAATAACATTGATATCAATGTCTTCATGAAAAAAGACCTTATCTTCTTGATGAGACTTTGCCCTAACAAATTGCAAGAAATGTTATTATTAATGTCATACGCAACTTGATGAGAATCAACGCAAATATCAATCCAATTAAAACCTAACTCTGTCACCAGCTGAATGCCTTCCACCCCCCCACCCCCCCCACACACACACACACACACAACTTTGCGATATACACTTCAGTAACTCATATGAACTTAGAAAAACTTCCAAGTCATTCTCCTTCATTTCCTCTCACAACATCACCACACCCCGCTAAACCTCTATTATCCCTGGCACCATCAGTATTTAACTTGACTTTCCCCTGTGAAATAGCTTCCCACTTGACATAAATCACATTTCTTTGAGGGTTGCTAGCAACAATATTGGAGATTTTTGCCTGCTCATAATCCCAGACTTGACTATAAATTGCATTCATTATATTAGGAGCCCGAGTATACCATTTGTCGCGACTTTCTTTATTATGCCATCACCAAATATTATAACAAGCAGTAGCCCAAACAGAACTTCACTCATCATTATGGTATCATCCCATATTATAATTCATGTTGATCTCTAACCAATTAGTAAGATCACCTGCAAAGAAAGACATTCGCATGTTAGTATGCACCACCGAAATCCAAAGCGGCATAGTCAGTGGGCAGTCACGCAGAACATGGGGAACGTCTTCTTCTTCATTGCCGTAAAAATACACATTGCACTTCCCAACCCCATCTTATTCTTCTTACTATCGGTTAAAAAAGCTCCTATTTATTTCTGTAATACTAAGCTTCCAAATCTCCTTCCATAACTCTTTCCCTTCTATTATCTTAATCCGACTTTTATATGTACTACCTACCAAAAAATGTTGCCTCTTATCTCCAAAATTAATGCAACAGTTGCCGCCTGCTTCTACTGAAGGAGGACACATTCTTCCAATTATGTCAGCAACATTCACAGGTATCCAACTATTCAACATTGTCCAATCTCAGTCACCATCCTCGTTCAATAAATCAGCTACTTGTTCATCTTGTAACTGTTCCAGAATAATCACTTCCTGCTCCTTAATACGCATATCCATCCCTAGTCAATTCGATGTCTAAGCTCTAACAGTTCTCCCATTATCCACCTGTCACAAAGCGTTTTCCTCCACTTTCGGCCACAACTTCACTATATTTTTCCATAAATCAGAATCAGTAGGCTTCATAGTTAAGATATTATCATTTTTGTTCCTAATATACTTCCCTCTCACACAACATGACTCTAAAGCTCATCATCACCGTTATGAAGCTTTCACCCTATCTTTGTGAGGCAAGCCTTATTCATGATATCTGTAACGCCCATTTTTAATTATTTAGTTTTCCGTATTATTTGTTTTCGGTAAATCAAGTGTGGTAATTTCTTGGAGAATTAAGTTCCATAATATTCGAAAATATGAATGATAGTGATAATAATATTGATATTATTGTTATTATTATTATTATGTTTAAAATATTATTGGAAAATTAATTAAAGAATTGAGAAATAAGAGAAAATGTCCTTATTATTATTAATTGGAAATATGAGAAATAAGGATTTATTGGAACTAAGGGCAAGCTTGGCATTTAGGAAAAGGGGAAAGGAAGAACACGCGTGAAAGAGAGAAGAGTTTGGTTGATCAATTGCAAGCTTGAGCAAAGGGGAGGATCATCAGGGCTGTCAATCGCGTAGATTTCTCGAAGGTTTTGTCATCATCAACAACATTTTGAGGTAAGGGGGGATTGATCAGTTAATTTGGTAATTGCATGAATAATTGGTAGAAGGGGAAAATCCCTAATCCCCATATAATGATGTTGAATTGATGGTAGTTGCATGTTAATAATTCTGTTATGATTATAGTTATCATGTTGAAATTCATTGCATGTGGTTATTTGGTAATTGGGGGTTTCTGATAAAATTCGGAGTTAATGCCGGAAGTTGAAGAATTGAGTAGAACTGACGATTTATCGAGTATGAATTAGGATAGTCGGTGTAATCTTGTGGAATAGTACTGTACTGGTATAGTGTAGGATTTCATGGGATTTAATCGGACGAAATTGAGGTGTGGGGCTGTTTCTGAACAGCAGATTTTCTGCAGAATTCACGTGCATTCGCTGGGAGAATGGGGGCGAGCCTTCGCCAGGCGAACTGGGCAGCGAATGCTGCCTTTTGCTTCTGTTTGGCTTCGCTAGGGGTTTCGCCGGGAGAGTCCCAGCGAGTGTTCGCTGCGGGGCTTCGCCAGACGAATGGCAGCGAACATGACAACATTTTGTGATTTTTCAGCTGTGCTGTTCTGTTCTTGCGTGGTTGGACCCTTGTTGGTCGTGAACGAGTACATGGTTATTGTGCATCGGTTGAGAGCATGAAGGTGATGTATAAGGCGTGTGCGTGTATACTCGTTGATACGAACGATTGAACTGAAGTACGCTGTGATGCCTAAAGTGGCTATGTATCCTTCGACTAGGAATGAATATGTGTGGATGCGTACGTGAGATGTCTGCACAGTGTGCGA